TCGAAGTACTATTTGTCAGTTACCACAGAAAACTTAAATAATCCTAGGAAATGTTGGAAAGCCATCAAATCGATATCCACCGGTGAGATCCGTAANATCCTTGGTTTTCTGCTGAATTGTCTAGATCAATTGTTTATTGATCTTTCCAAAGCTTTCGATACTGTCGATCATCATATCTTGAAGCAGAGGCTGGCCAGTATTGGAGTGGGGTGGTTTGTGAACTACCTCTCTGAAAGGTCCCAATGTGTTCATGGCCAGCCTCTGCTTCAAGATATGATGATCGACAGTATCGAAAGCTTTGGAAAGATCAATAAACAATTGATCTAGACAATTCAGCAGAAAACCAAGGATTATCTCGTCCCTTCACTCTAAATGTACGCAGGGGTGCATGTCTATCAATAATTTCCATAAAACCAAGATAAAAATAAGACCAAACAGATCATGAACAAAACCCTGCTTCACAAAATGTTTTTTGTCTCTCTTAATAATAATACAAGGTTTAACCTTTTGGACCTTAGTGTCCCTAATTGTGGCTACAGCACAGTGGTCACTCACATCATTAGCAAATACTCCCACAGATTAGTATTTATAGGGAACATTAGTTAGAATGAGATCAATTAGGGAGGATTTATTTGGGAACTTAATGTTAGGTCGAGTAGGACTGTCAACAATCTGAGTAACATTTAAAGACATACAAAGGTTTTTAAAATCCTCTGACACTGCAGTTAACCAGTCCCAGTTCAAATCTCCAAGTAGCACTATTTCCTTGTAGTCTAGTTGAGATAAAAGATTTGCCAATGAAGAAGGAGTCCTTGACAGCTGAGGGGGCTCTGTAACAGCCCACCACCATGACCTGTTGACCCTTTGCCTCTTCGATATTTAAGGCTAACATTTTTAATAGTTTACTTATTCATTTGGAAACCAATGTGGTTAGACTAAAGGTATTCTTCACATAAATGGCAACGCCACCACCTTTATTAGGTCGGTCGGTACGATATACATTGTAACCATTAAGGAGATGTCAGAGGCCAAAATAGATTTATTTAGCCACGTCTCTGATAAAACAATGACATCAGCATCAGTCGAGCTCGCCCAAATGCGGA